ATCAATGTTACTTGAAAGACTGAAGAAAAAGTTGGTTTTTTTTTTTCTTTTACTAAGCATGTAGTTCTTAGGAACTATTTAATTCTGAGCTATAATAAGATCTATACTTCACTTACACTGCTTTGTGTGTTACCTTCTCCCACCAATACACTCTAACACAAGGTACAAAGAATGAGAGAGATCTATACTCTCGTGACTTCCTAGAAAAACTTAACTCGCTGTAAGAAGATGTTAACCACCACCTTAGATTGATTTTACAATATTTACACATGCCCTAGAGTATGATCACACTAACAGTAAAGCGTGGGAGTTGGACTCAGTGATCCTTACCAGTCCCTTCCAACTTGAGATACTCTATGATTCTATGCCCAATACAAGCAAACCTTCACTGAATCTTTGACAATTAAAATCCTGCCCTTTTTTTCCCCCTCATTTGAAAACTTAGCTATTGGAAGTTACCAACTGCTAATACCTAAAGAACAGCAAACTCCTTTCAGACCTTAAGAGATGAAGTACTACTAACGTGTACTGTACATATAAAGGAGGAGAAGGATATGAGTTTTCTGCACTGCTGCCAACTTCGTAAGTCATTGGAGATAAGTGTAATAGAAGTAAACAAATATGAACTCTCCATACTTCTGGAGGAATGTGTATCCACACCCAAGAACGACTTCAGCACACCTAGAAAGTAAATTCTGTCCCTCAGTGAGCACCGTCTTAAAAGAAGTTCTAACAAAAGATGCAGTTAGAGTTCTTTTCGGTAGGTGGTGTAAAAAACCCACCTATCAACAATGTATGCTGCTGGTGCTCCGAGATCCTGTATATTTTCCACAACAATGTTTTTTCAAAAAAAAAGCCAAATGATTAAACAATAATCTCCTATTCCTATTCCTATCGGTGGTAAAGTGCCTACTTCCTCAAGAAACAGAATGATAAGAAATACTGAACGAAACCCCGGCCTAAAGATTACTCCCTCCTTAGAAATTCAAAGGATACATCCCAGGACACACCAGTTGGTTGTTTTTGTTTGGGTTGTTTGTTTGTTTGTTTTTTTGACACAGGCATCGCACGAAACCTACGTGACATTCCATGATGTTTAAAGCAGCCACCCCCCCAGCTCACCCGCGGCGGCACCGGGGGGACCCCGAGCGGTGGGCCCCCCGGCAGCCCCCGGCTCCCTCCCGGAGGCGCAGGCATCCCTGTCGGGAATGTATCCCGCCCTCAGCCCCGTCAAAAAACGCCTCCTCCCCGCTCGGCCCCCCGCGCGGTGTCACCTTCTTGCCGGCGGGATTCAGCC